CACTTCGAGGTCTGAGCCTATCTCATAGCCATCCTCAGCCATGCCTTGGTCTCTCCCATCTGCCGGCGAAGAAGCACCGTCAGCTGGTCGCGAGGTCGAGGGCCCTCTTGCCACGAAGTTTTAGAAACCCTTGCAGACGGTCCTTCGGCTATCGTCCATGCAGAAGGAAGTGATACACCCTCTACGGCCTCAGCCGATTTCGGAACCTCAGACGCCAGCTCGACGTCGTCTTTAAGTATTACGGTCGCCATCTCGTGGATGGTAAAATCATCCATCACAGAATCTACAGCCCGGGCAACCCCGTCACCAACATCCACTGACCTTCTCTTGTGGAGCACCAAATTCCGATCACTTGGCAACGATTCCTCCTCCTCATCCACAAGACGGAATAAAGGGGAAGCCGAAAGCTCCACCATCGAAATATTTGTAGGCGGAGAAGAAATCGATGCTGAGGCAGCGGTGGATGGGGCCGAAGATCGAGCAGACCTAGCCGCTGTCGAGGAGGGAACAGAAATGGAAGAGCGAGTAGGCCTAGCCACGGCCGTAAGGGGGATAGACGCCGAAGAGGAGGCAACTTTCCTCTTACAGAATGCAGAAGGGGAAGCTCTCGGCCTCCTCGAAGATCCTCGGGCTGAAAAAGAAAGAATCGAAAAAGGTTATTATTATCACCAAAAGCAAACTATAAGAAATAGGTGACGAATCGAAAAAGGTTATTATTATCACCAAAAGCAAACTATAAGAAATAGGTGACAAAGAGGCCAAAAAAAACAAAAAAAAACAGACAAGCTCACCGGTCAAGGAAGGAGCAGGCCCAAACCTCTTTAAAAAGCTTGACCACTCGCGAATTCACGCGATGTGAGGGAGAACCCGGCCAACCCAATCAGAAATGTCCCCGACCAAAGGAGGGGGCGTAGTCTTGGCTGCATAAGAAGGAAACATGAGTTCAGGACCCACGACTAAAACAAGCAAATCAAATATTTCAATGAAGAAAGGTTAGACGCTTACAAGTATAATTCCAAGTCTCGGGGAAGCCATCCGCGTTGGCCACCACATCTTCGATTCTGACGAAGAAAAAATTATTCCAGAACTGACGGTTCGCCTTGTCGTCTATCTTCACCACCAGGCATTTCCCCCTCGATGGCGAAGGTTCAACATCATCCCCTATAGAAGCTAGGGGTGAAGAGGTGCATTGGATGCCGGAGTGTGATCTCGAACCCGGCCAATTCCGTAAATTTAGTAAGCATCCTGATGGGCTTGTAGATATATGGGGAAAGTTGAGCCGGGCAAACACCATAGTAATGGCAAAATTCCTTCGCCAATGGGAGAAGGGGAATGGGCGTAGCCAACTTGGAAGGGGTATGAGTAGAACGCGCAATACCCAAGGCGGTGGATTTGTATCACATCCACCCTGTAGGGACCAAATCGATGCGAGCGGAAATGTTGAATTTAGCCCTAAGCTCTGCTAGATCGGCCTCTTTCATCGCCGACTCAGAGGCCCCGGGCTCAGTTTCAGGCGCCTTTGAGAAGTCGGACCTGACTTTCTCACCATGAGGAATTATTTCCTCCACCGTAGGAAAGTTCTCATTCTCAACGGAAACAGAGACGCCCTCAGTGTGAGGAGGCAAAATCACCACCAAGGGGACGGGGCTATCTCCCTCACCAGGACTAGAGGACACGTTAGCCGTAGTTCTATCGAAAGAAAGGATATTCACGTAAAGAAGGGTTAAAAGCAACTGGAATCACTGGAACCAGGAAAGAATACACACAACAACAGATTAAGGTTAAGAAGGCACAAGGATTCGGTATGAAAAATACGTGAAGCACGAATGGATGCCCTCACATCCCTATTTATAAGAATTCGGGCATCAAAACCAAGAAATTATGCCATCATTACCCAGCACTGGTATCGAAACGGCAGACCCAACCGACAAGCGCACGGGAAACGATGCAAAGCATCGGAAAAATGCGCCATAATGACGCATGATGTCATGACGCCACTTTGGTATGGAAACGACGAAACCCCAAAAGTTGCGGCTCACGAAAGTCCACGTCGTCAGCTCGTCCCAAACATCACTACTCGACCCACTCGTCCAATCTTCTCGACCGTAATAAATGGAATCCGCTCATCAAGGTTGTTTGAGGCCGGTCTCAATAAGAGGAGGGACTAACTGTATAGGTCGAAATCTGCCCCGGAATATTTAGGGCATGGTAGCATTGAGGAAAGAGTCATTCGAGGTCGATCAGGAAGCAACGAGACTCGTGGTCGAGATGTCAACAATGGTCGAGGTCGAGCACCGCAGGTAGACCTGTAACGGCTAATTTTTAGAATAGGATATTACAGAGAATATTCTATTGGATATCCTCTGCACTTATACTATTAGAGTTTGTTAGGGAAATGTCCCACATAAATAGGAAAAAAGATAATGAATGGAGGCAGGTGACATTCATTTGATAAAAACAGACTTTTGATAAAAGATATTCTCTCTCTCCCTCTCTCTCTCTCTTACAAAGATACAAACACTACCTTTTAATCAAGATTCTTGTTGATATCATTCTACACTTTTCCATCGGATCCGAGAATAATCAAACATTCTAGGATTTGTCTGTTACTCATCATTGTCAGGCGGGACAATCATCTACTTCATCCTTTATTGGGCGAACCACTTCTCCTGTTTACTTCAATGTCATTTACTGTTATTTATTGGTAGTCATTCCTCCATTGTTGCTCATACTTTTTGGAATAGTTAATGAATGTTGTTATCAATCCACCACCAAATCTGTCTAACATTAATCATATTTTTGGAACTCACATTTAGAGATATTATTATTAACTAAGTTTAACCCATTATTATATAAACTCGATTGTTTTAACCGAAAGTTACACTTTGTGGTCAAACGGAAATTTTATTTTGTGTCTCATACAACTGATACTAGTTGTATGAGGCATCTTTTTTGTCTCACAATTTTGTGGACCTAGATTTTTGTGGACCCAGAAGTGTAAGATTGGGGTCCACAAATTTGTGAGACAAAAAGGAACCTCACACAACTAATGTCAGTTGTATGAGGTACACAATAAAACTTCTCGTGGTCGAACACATTCCTTTTCTACTATTTTCACTTTATTATTTTGATAATACGTGTCCAAACTTTTTAAGCATTTATTGTATAACCATAAGAGACTTTGATTTTTTAGATCGGAAAAGGGTCAAAAATACCCCTTTACTATATGAAAAAGATTATTTATATCCTCCGTTATACTTTCGGACCATTATAGTCCCCGACGTTATAAAACTGGTGCAAAAATACCCCTCTTCCGTTAGAGATTTCCACCATGGCAGCACCATCCTAGTTGGCATGATATTTTGGTGAGATGGACGCCATGTGGAATGCCACCTCAGCACTCTAGCCCATTTTAGCCCTCCTTTCATCTAAACCACGACTATTTTTTTTAATGTTTTCCACTCACCACCTCCATTAACAATCAACTTCAGCAATCTTGTTATCCCTCGTTTTACTACTATTAACAAAATCATTTTTCTTACCTTTCATCACAGTTGCCCAACTCTTCTTTAACATATAGCACCAAAATAATCTTCATCACAATTTTTATCCTCTCCATCCGTGACCCAAAATCGAGAGTGTGATTTGAAACTGCTAGAATTCATATGTGCACTTTGGGAAGGTTTAAGCTTTCATATGTCTGTTCAAAATATTTCTCAAGCACACCCAGTTCCAAAGCAGTGGTGCTAAAGGATTCCTTTAAAAAAAAATTAAAGAGAATTTTACAAAAGAAAATCCCATTATAATATGTTTAAGCTTATTCAATTTGGTAACACTACTACTAACCCGTGAAAATGCAAGTTGGTACTTATGCTATTTGAACTCTACAAATGATAATTTGAAACTCTTGTTAGCATCTGGGATTGTAATGATTAAAGAGGCCCTTATACTTATGTTAAGAATGTTACCAATTTCTCTGTTTTGTCCAATAATTGCGAAGGTAATTGCGGATAATGGTTTTTTTCACCTTGAATTGTTAGAGTTTTAAATTGTGCGTTTAATGGATTAGTACTGTTGTAGCTTCAGTTATTTACAATTTGAAATACAACAAAAAAAAACTCAAAAGAATTGGGTGAAGATAGGCGGGTGGGGGTGGGGTGGGGTGGGAGGGGGAACTGTGGGAGATGGTGGAAGAAGGCATGAGAGGAGGGGCAAAAATGGTGTTGGGTAGTGAGGTGGTATGTCATGTGGCATCCACCTCACCAAAATATCAGGCCACGTAGGATGATACTGCCATGGTGGAAGGCTCTGACGGAGAAAGGGTATTTTTGCACCAATTTTATAACGTCAGGGGTTATAATAAACCGAAAGTATAACGGAGGGTATAAAAGATCATTTTTATATAGTAGAGAGATATTTTTGACCCTTTTCCCTTTTTAGATTATTTAGATGAGTTTTATTAATGGGAATGACACAACATTATGGTCAACTATATATTTCATCATTAATTAAATAGTTAGCACTTTGATTCTTTCACATGAATTATGAATACTTTGATTCTTTCATATGAATTATGAATTTATGATGGGCTCAAATTGAAAATTAAATTATTCACAAAAACTTATTTTAATATTCAACGATACCCACTTTCTAGGAAAATTTTATTTTGTGTCTCATACAACTGACACAATTGTATGAGGCAACTTTTTTGTCTCACAATTTTGTGAACTCAAATTTCTGTGGATTCAGAAATATAAAATTAGGGTCCACAAATTTATAAAATAAAAATGAGCCTCATATAACTAGACACAAAATAAAACTTCTCCACTTTCTAGCTTTTCCCCGAAGGGGTGCCACACACGCTCCTAATTTCCCAACCAAACAAGGAAAGGGCGCAGAAAGATAGCTTTAGCGTGTTGTTTTGGTGCACTACACGTCATCAGGACACGTGTCATTATATAATAGGGCAATCCCACGAGGCGGTTTCGTCTTGAGTCGGCCATAGCGTCCATAAAAGGAGGCTCTCCCGTGCTGGTTTCTCCATCATTCATCAGATTAATCTTCTTTACTTCTTTCATCGGCTTCATATTTCTCTCTCAAGGTTTGAGAATTTCCTCAATTTCTCGCTTTAGCAGTTCTTTTTTATTGAATCAACGATTTGGGTATCTAAAGCCCTAATTTTGAAGTTCATTGTTTTAATTGTTTGTTGTTGTTATTATATAATTACAGATGCAGATCTTCGTGAAAACCCTAACCGGAAAGACCATCACTCTTGAGGTCGAGAGTTCCGACACAATCGACAACGTAAAAGCCAAAATCCAGGACAAAGAAGGAATTCCCCCAGATCAGCAAAGGCTTATCTTCGCCGGCAAGCAGCTTGAGGACGGCCGTACCCTCGCCGATTACAATATCCAGAAGGAGTCTACCCTTCACTTGGTCCTCCGTCTCCGAGGTGGGATGCAGATCTTCGTCAAAACCCTCACCGGCAAAACAATCACCCTTGAGGTCGAAAGTTCTGACACCATCGATAATGTCAAGGCCAAAATTCAGGATAAGGAGGGAATTCCACCAGACCAGCAGAGGTTGATCTTCGCCGGCAAGCAGCTCGAGGATGGCCGTACCCTCGCCGATTACAACATCCAGAAGGAGTCTACCCTTCACCTTGTCCTCCGTCTCCGTGGTGGTATGCAGATCTTCGTCAAAACCCTCACAGGCAAGACCATCACCCTTGAGGTCGAGAGTTCTGACACCATCGACAATGTCAAGGCCAAAATTCAGGATAAGGAGGGCATTCCCCCAGACCAGCAGAGGTTGATCTTCGCTGGCAAGCAGCTCGAGGATGGCCGTACCCTAGCTGATTACAACATCCAGAAGGAATCGACCCTTCATCTTGTCCTCCGTCTCCGTGGTGGTATGCAGATCTTCGTCAAAACCCTCACCGGCAAGACCATCACCCTGGAGGTTGAAAGTTCTGACACTATTGACAACGTCAAGGCCAAGATCCAGGACAAGGAGGGGATTCCCCCAGACCAGCAGAGGCTGATCTTTGCAGGAAAGCAGTTGGAAGATGGTCGCACCCTTGCAGACTACAACATTCAAAAGGAGTCCACCTTGCACTTGGTGCTGAGGCTGAGGGGAGGAATGCAGATCTTCGTGAAGACATTGACTGGGAAAACCATCACCTTGGAGGTGGAGAGCTCTGACACCATCGACAATGTAAAAGCTAAGATCCAGGACAAGGAGGGTATCCCACCGGACCAGCAGAGGTTGATCTTTGCTGGGAAGCAGCTCGAGGATGGAAGGACCTTGGCTGACTACAATATCCAGAAAGAGTCAACCCTTCACCTTGTCCTCCGTCTCCGTGGTGGTTTCTAGGTTGCCTGTTGGTGATGTCGTTGTGTTGTGTTGATTGGCTGTGTCTGTTTCTAGTTGTGGTTGTATGTGCTTTGTCTATTGAGGTCTCGAAGTCGTTCTATTCTGTTTCTGTTCGCTTTTCTTTTTATGTTCTCTGTTGTGAATAAAGATTCTGAATTCTGTCCTAATGTCTAGTTTTTGTGCTCTTTGTTGGCAGTAAATGAACTTTCCTTTATTTTATCCAAATGGAGTTGATATACATCGTCATTGAGCTCCATCTTCTGTTTGATGATTGTTGACGGTGAACCACCAGTTATAATTATCACCTTGAAATCCACAAGAATGTCAGGAATGTGCGTTTTAAAAGAGAAGAAACTAGTTGATTGTCTGTTTCCTTTTTATGCCATTGTAAATGGAAGACGAGAACTCTGAATTTTTACATCAACTTTGTGCTGCTGGTAAATCATGCTTGGTTCTTGCAAGGCCTTTGTTTCCTGGCATCTAGCTAAAGATCAATTCAATAAGGTTATTGAGCTTCGACCTTGATGGATCTTTGGTTCTCAGTTCGTTCTTTAAACATAAAGCTATCTTGCATATTTTTTTCCTGCTGTGGAGTTAACTTTTGGTTACCATCCAGAAAGATCCACTTTTACTTTTCGCAATGCCGGAGTAGCTTGCTACCTCTCGTCAATTTTTGAACTGGAGACCCTCAAAACAATGTAGGACATTAGATTTGAACTAGCTAAGCTCTCATTTGTGGTCAATGCCAATAAGACACTCTTTCGACGTACTCCAGGTAACAAGAAAAAAATATCAACTTCATAATGGACAGCTTCCAATGAGGATGTGAGGTTATTCTAATAACCAGCTGTTGTTACACATCAGATCATCATCTGGAATGGAGCAATGAAGCGAATTGGTTGGGGGCATCCCTCCAGTCTTCACCATCTCTTTCCCTTCAAATCCTTTAACATATACTAGTAGTCGTACCCGCGCACTCAATATTAAAAAAATATTTGTTATTTTGTTAATTTTTCGATGTTACATTTGGAATTATCACAATTATTTGATTATCCTATTCTATATATAAATAGAATAGATATTGTCTAAATTTTAATAAATAAAATCTCCATTAAATTAAGGGGACTTATATAGTCATCAAATAATTTTTTCGTTATGTATTTTTATTTATCCAATATTTAGTATAATTATATTGTTAATAGAAATTATGACACTTGTCATTATAACATTTCTTTGCTTCTCCTATATATATATATATATATATATATATATATATATAGATTTTTTGACTTTCCTATTATATATATTATATATTATATATTATACATATATTATATTTATTATATATTATATATATAAATAGATTTTTCTTTTTTATTTTAAAATAATTTTAGAATTCCAATTTGAAACTACTTCCCGATTTGAATTAATAATTCATTATTTTATTTAATTTTGTTTTTTATTTTAAAATTATTTTTAAACTCCAACTTGAAACTACTTCCCGATTTGAATGGGTAGTTTTTCTTTTCTTTTTTTGTTTTTTTATTGGTAATTTTTTTTTTGCTTTTTATTTTAAAATAATTTAAAAACTCAAACTTGAAACTATTCCCATCCAGTTTGAATGGGTAGTTATTTTTTATATATTTATTTTTCGTTGTTTTTTAATCATATTTAATTATACGATATCTATATTTATTAATCCAAATAAAGTAATCAATACTATATATATATATATATATATATATATATATATATATATATATATATANCTACTCCCACCCAATTTGAATGGGTAGTTATTTTTTATATATTTATTTTTCGTTGTTTTTTATCATATTTAATTATACGATATCTATACTTATTAATCCAAATAAAGTAATCAATTACTATATATATGTGTGTGGTAGTTTTTTATTTTATTTTATTATTTTCGTTTTTTATATGTATATTATATATAAATAGATTTTTCGTTTTTTTATTTCAAAATAATTTTAAAACTCCAATTTGAATTGGTAATTTATTATTTTTTTTAATTTCGCTTTTTTATTTTAAAACTCCAACTTGAAACTACTTCCCAATTTGAATGGGTAGTTTTTCTTCTCTTTTTTCGTTTTTTTATTGGTAATTTTTTTTTTGCTTTTTATTTTAAAATAATTTAAAAACTCAAACTTGAAACTACTCCCACCCAATTTGAATGGGTAGTTATTTTTTATATATTTATTTTTCGTTTTTTTATTATATTTAATTATATGATATCTATATTTATTAATCCAAATAAAGTAACCAACTAATATATATGGTAGTTTTTTATTGTATTTTATTATTTTCTTTTTTGATATGTATTTAAATTCAAAAATAAGTAACCAATAACTAATTATAAACTAAATAACTAATTAGTAACTAATTATGCTATTTGGCATTTTTTTAGGCTGACACTTGGCTTAAGGAGAGAGCTTTTTCCTCTCCTTTTAATAATATAAAGATTGTGAATGTGCATCTTTCATTCTCCATTTTTTTTTTTCCTAATAAAATTTTTAACAGCTGGGTTTAACAGGTGTAAGTGTTTATGCAGTGTAGGTTTGGATTGTTCTTTTCTCTTGTCTGTTTGATGGTTTGAAGAATCACTAATACAGGAATCTGTTTGATGGTTTCAAGAATCACTAATACAGGAGTGTGATGAGATGGAAGTGGCTGTGATAGAGTGATATCCAGTTCAGATGAAGTTCCAAAAGGTCGAGAATAGACCCTTTTTAGGGGCAATATGTCGTGGAGTATTGTGGCTTGTCGGATATATACTTCCTTCTTACTTTATTACCTATTTTATGCTTAGAGTTGTAGTATTGTTTGATTAGCTTCATCATGCTCGTGGATGTAAAGCCTGGATCGGCAGTTTCTTTTTATTTGGCTACTGATTATAATGTGAATTTTGTAGTACTTGGATATTTTGGGATGTTCTAATCCTATCTGGACATTGGTGGCAGCAGTTCATATTGTTCATCTTTTGTAGGCCTTCTCTTTGTAGGTGGTGAAGATGAGAAGTATGGACGGTCTCCCTCCACAATTGATTGGCTTCATACAACATCTATTTAACCTCCTTCTGTTCTATTTTTTTGGTTGCTTCTGAAGTGCTAGCTGGTCCTATGCTCTAGTCAGCGTCTTGGTTGTTGAGCAAGTTCTTGATTATTTGGTGGGGAACAGTTGAAGGACAGCTGCACCCTAGTAGAATGCGACACTAGGAAGGAGTATACCCTTCACCTTGTGGTCCATACCTGTGGTTGCATGTAGATTCTGATAAAGACCCTCACTGAGAAGACCTTAAAACTGGAGGTTGAAAGTTCCAACACGATTGACAGCATCAAGGCCAAGTTCCAGAGCAAGGAGGAAGTTTCCCCAGGTAAGCCGAGGATGATCTTTTCCAGCAAGCAGCTTGAGGGTGATGCATTCTTGTTGTCTAGATCATCCAGAAGAATCCTTCATCTTGGCCTACAAGGAGGGAGTTCCACTAGATAAGTGGAGGTCGATCTTTGCACTGAGAATGGGAGGATTTTTTACAGGGAAGCGGCTTGAGGGAGGGTGATGCATTCTTGTTGTCTACATCATCCAGAAGAATCCTTCATCTTGGCCTACAAGGAGGGAGTTCCACTAGATAAGTGGAGGTCGATCTTTGCACTGAGAATGGGAGGATTTTTTACAGGGAAGCGGCTGAGCATGGAAGACTTTCACTGGCAATAACATCCAGAAGAAGTCAACTCTGTACCTTGTCCTCTGCTCCGTGGTAGCTTCTATCCTGTTATTGATGGTCGTTATGTTGTGTTGGATCTCGTTACTGTCCGTTTAGTCGTCTGTTGCTTTTCATGATGTGCGGTACCGTATGGGAAATTGGACTTGAATTTTTTTTGTGGTTCTATTCATTATGACTTCTGTTTCTCTGTTTTGTGAATAGGTGAAAGGATGCATATCTTGAATGTGAAGTGGCGGTGCTCCCTTGGTGGCAGTTTGTGAATTTATCTTTCTCCCCTCTTTCACTGCAAGGCGGCTGATCTACATTGCCTTTGATGGCATTTCCTGCTTGATAATTGACGGTCAGGTATTCACCCAGAAACTAGAGGAGATGCATTCCTTGTAGGTTCTGTTATTGTCAGAAAGAAGTGCGTGAATCTCCCCTGGTATATTTGTTTGTTGTTTGTATGATTGCCCTTGTTTTGTTTTCATTCCTTTTTAGTTTTCAATCAGTAGAGGAAAAGACCATGTTGATGAGGATCTGTTCTCTTCTTTGGTGTCAACTCTGCTGGGATTCCGGTGGTCGTGCTTTCTACATTTCTGGCTTTGTTACTTGGCGTCTAGCTTAGATTGATTCAATAGCATCGTGAAGCTCCCAGCTTGTATCTTCAAGTATTGGAATCTTTGATCTACTTTCTCACTAAGGAAATCCCACGACCTCGACAGTTGTGAAGTTTACTTGAATTTGTAATCAACTGGACAAGGCAGACTTTGATGATTAAATGTGCAACGAGAGAAGCATAGCAAACGAGCATACTGGTCATCTAGTGACAAGTACAAGGCAATTTAATAATCAGAACTGCTTGCAATTTTTCTGGTGATGAGGGTGGACGTTGCATACATTTATGATAACGTTGATCTGAATGGGAATGTCCAAATCAGAATATCTGAATGGGAATGTCCAAATCAGAATTTCTGAATCTATACGAGGAATTTGAGCTGGAGGAGGCCAACTGTATTTATCCGAGTATGATGTTTATGCTGTACTGACAGTTACCCATGCTTGGAGCCTGCTGATTCTGTGGGCTCCAATGGCAACTATTGAAGCACACGAACTAACTCAACACCTATTGAGGTGCACCAGTTGGTCTTCTTTATCACTTGTACTTCAAATAGAGTTTAGGAATGCAAGCTATATGATGTATAACTTAAACAGTTAGAGACCACTGGTTAAGCTGTTTGTGCAGCTCTGTTTTTCTGACGTGAGTGTGCTGAGTTATGCATGGCTGTGTGAAGTGAAACCAACTCCCAATTTCCATTCTCATGCCATATCTTTGCTTTCAAGTCTTGCTTCCTGTCTGACGTCGCTATTTCATATATTTTCCTCTAAGCTAAATTTCTCATTTACAATTGCATTTCTGGCAGAAGACATCGTCTAGAACTGAATGATCGCTGGCAACACACTGTACCTTATCCTCTTCTCCATGGTGGTTTCTAAA